AAATTATATTTATTTTTTCTTATGCTTCCCTATGGTCCTACAAATTTCAAATTGAAATAAATAGTTGTCAATATTCCAAGAACATACACTCAAGCAAAGCTCATCAAGAACTCGAATATAGTAGCTTGATTGTTTTCTTTAGAGTCACAGCGATTAACATGTAAATAATATTTAAAAAAGGGCTGGTCTTTGAACTTTGTTTTAGACAAACTGACTGAAAAATACGAACTCTCCAAGGGCAACAGCTTTCAGCACTCGGAGGCGAGACAGGTTCATTCAATTGAATTTTACGATTTGTTTTGTTTATCAGCAAAAAAACGTGCAACTCGGATGGCCACTTACCCCAACACATCAAAGATACCCTTGATATTCTAAGAATTATTTCCCACGCGCTCGTCGCTCTCAACTTAACCTGACCAACAGATGCCTCAGCGTTGGGTGACTTTAAGCAATTGTCATTGGTTGAGATGTGAGAAACGAGTATATTGGGTTTCTTGCACAGTTCATTGTGCTGTCTGTCTGCATGTCTATATAAGCCAAAGACCAGAAATTTGGCTATAATTTTGAGTAGCCTTCTCCTTTAAAGACACACCTATTTGAAGCTACTTGAAACTAAAATAAATAAAATAAATAAATAAAATAAAGAACCTACGCGTATTGGAGGCGGGACAAGTGTGTAAAAAACTAAACAACGTTTGTGTTAGAAAACTAGATTTTAGCAAGTAAATTTAATTAAACTAATTAATAAATAATAAATAAAATAAAATAAAAATAACTTTCTTAGTTTTAGCACCAGAATCAGCTAGGATCTTGCATGCGTTGAGATAACTCTTGAGCTGCTGTGCATAGAAACGTTTTAGGCTTATGGCACGCCTATTAACTCGTGGCGTGAACGAGTATAATAAAGTCAGCTATGCCCAAGAGCTCAGTTGCCATAGAAGCCAATCCGCATTTAGGTTCATTTCGACAAGTCAATGTTAAAAAGAGTATTTATCCTTCAGCAAGAATATTGTTTATACATTATTATAAATTAATATATTTGTGTCAGAAACTTGACTTAGGCAACCAAAATTTTATTTGCACTTTAAATTCATTCAGCCATTGTTTCAAATTAAATATTTCGACAAACTGTGCAGAAAATCATGTTTACACTTCAGTTGCAGCTCATGAGCTGGAGTTAATGATGCGTGAGGTTTGCGCAAAGTCTAGACAGAAGAGTAAAAGTCAAAATTTATGTATACATATATAATTGCAATAAATGCAGCATACAAATTAATTGTATATGAATTAATTAAGTTAAGTATACGCCCCGTTGCCTGCATGCATTTAATTGAAAGCATCTCGAGCGTCTGCTTTGAAGAACAGTCTCAAATGCCAATTAATATTTCATCTTCCGCTCATGTCAATATTAATTTCAAACGTCTTTCATAAATGCTTATCCATCGATTCACGTATATATAGCTGTGGAGCTTTAGCAGAGCGCACACAAGTTTCTATGATTTTGCTGAAATCTCTGTGGATTTCATTTCACGCATAACTGAGAAAATCATAAATGAATGGCTTTGTTTTTAGTAGATGCTTTTGTGTTCTATAGAAATAGCATGAAGCTGTCTGGCTTGCCATATATATGTGTGTGTATATACCCTGTAAAGGTGTTGCAAAGGTCTCAATAGTATAAAAAAAACTGATGACAGTAAAAGGATTTTAAGCATAACTCCATATGAGTTAATTTTATTTTTTAATTCAAGTAATACTATTTAAGCCCTTTTGAAATCATTCATATAAATGCAGCTGGAAAGCGATTTATACATTCAGAAAAAAAATAAAGTCAAAACATTTCTTTAAATGTTTTTCCTTGCAGAAAAAATACATTAACACAAATCTCATGTAGTTTCAGCTCGCTTATATAAAAAATTTTTCCAATTTACTTTAAATTTATTTAAAATAAAAACTGAATTCAGTAAAGTGAAAGTTGTTAACGAAATTCAATTATTTTAATCAGCTTTTCAGTTTGTTTTTTTAAGTTTTGAGCTGGACTCACAGTTATATTGACATTCTGTTTACGGGGTATAGTCCAAGTTGAATACTTTTAGTTGAAAAGTTTTCAATATATTTCCAACATATTTGTTAGCTTTATGAATTTTAGCAAAATTAATTACTTTGGCACAATGGCAGCCATGAAAATTGTTGTTGGCCGCACAAGGAAATCCAATTACCAAATACAATGCGAGGTATATGCAATTTGCCCATTCGCCCATTGGCCCATCGGCCCAGCTGACCCGGTCAACTGCCAAATGCCAAAAGCCGAACGAAAAGTGATTTTAGTTTAAGAATTTCCGGTTAGCAACTATCTATCGATGTATATGCCTGCACTTGGCATGTTCGATTCCGAATACTTATAGAGCATAGCTGTCTTATTGATCTGTATCAGTTAATTGATTTGCTTTACGAGTTGCTGCGGCTGCAGCACTCTTTCCACATATCAACTGAGATCCTATCATAATATTTTTTTAATATTCTGCAACCATTTTGTCGAATTCGTTTCATTTTGTTTCTTATACTTCTTCTTCTCTTTTTTTGTCAATTGGCCATTGAATTAGCTTTTTGGCTTTTGCGGCCCACTGTGCTACATTTATGAATATATCAACGAGGCGAGGAGAGGCCAGGCGAGAGCGAGGCGAGGCGAGTCGAGTCGAGTCGAGTGTCTGCCGTTGCGGATCTGTTCAAGTGTGTATGTGTGTGTGAGTGCTCATAAAGCTGCACAAATAAAACTGTCGACGATTGTAAGGCTCACACAAACACACACACATACATACAGACAGACAGTGTGGCATGTGGCAGCCACAAAAGGCAGCGGGTAAAAAATCAGTTTGAATTGCCAGAGCAGAGGCGGCAACGGCGGCGGCAAGGCTGGCTATGGGCAGGGCTTGGGCTGAAGAGTTGCCGTTGCAATTGCGCTGCCAACTGCTGCACTGGCACAGGAAATATTATCCGCATTGCCAGAGCATCTTAGCCAAGTCAGAGCGAGACAGCTGCATAGAGTGAGAGATGCGCCATGAATGAGACGGAGGCTGAGACTGGGGCCAGAACAAAGCGCAAAAGCGGCCAAGTGAATTTCTCAAATACAAATTCAAATGGCAAATTGACAAATGAACCTTCAGAGCATTTTTCGTTTTCATTGTATGTGTGCAGGTATGTGTGTGTGTGTGTGTGTGAATGTAGGTGGGTAATTCAGCAGTTTTTGCAGCATTTGCCTGCTGCTGCATGAAGCAAATTTTTACTTGTGCCTCATTTTCAAGCTGCCGCTACCGCTGCTGCTGCTGCTGCCGTTGCTGTTGCTGCGTCTCTTTGCAGCGAAAATAAAAAAAAATTTATGAAAAAAAGAAAAGAGAATGAAAAAAACCATTCGACAGGCTTTTGATGCTGATTTTGTGAAGATGTCGAGTGGGTAGCAGCAGCGGCGGCAGCGTCGACGGCGAGGGCGGAGCAGAGCGTGGGCTCAGAGCTGTTGCGCCGCATTGTTGCTCTGTGAAACACCCAGCAAACAGCTCAAACCGCCCGCCATTCTTAACGTGAACAACGAACTACAAATTGTTGTTGATAGGCCATTTTAAAGCTTTGGCTAAAGGCCGATCCCATTGGCCCATTGTTTGGCATTTCCATTTACTGGCCGAGCTTCGGTAAATTGAGATTACCAATGAGCCAACTACAATTACAATCAACAACAACAACAACACAATGCACATTGTTCCTGAAAATGATGCTCTAAGTAAAGTCCATTTTGTTTTGCTCTTTGTCTCCCTTTGCAACGGTCTCGCATTCTTTAAAAGTTTAAACGGAAGCATCTGAATCAGCTTTGTGCCTGGCCAACACTGAAAACTAATCCGAATGCCGAACACTGCTGCAAATGACGTTTCTTTTTTCATCCTGCTCAAGGTTTTTGTTGCTGAAATAAAAGGCGCCCGATGGCCGAGAAAATGTTGAATGAATGTAAAAGAAAGATTCTGTACTTAATTTTATTGCAAGAGCAAAAGAAACGATACGTAGATTGTTGCAGTCAAATCAAGCTCAAACCTCAAATGATTTTAACCAAAGCCATTCAAGGGGAAATCAGCCAAGTCCAGGAAATTCAGGGTTCGAATCACAGTGAGGTGTGTGAATTTTGTATTGCTTTAGTTGAAGGTCAGAGTAGCTAATAACAAGGTTAATATCTTGTTCTATAAGTGTAAGAAATATAATCTCAAACGCAATGAGAATAATAATGATATTGCTCTATCTTTAACTAAGTCATTATCTTAGCTGCATTTGCTATTGCTGCTAAAAAAACTTAAGCGTTCTTTCTCTAGCTATCTCCCACCTGGGAACTGGGCGTTATTCCGCCTTCTTTTTCAGCTTGAAGCACTTCTATAAGCTCTAACTGAGCATTGTCCTCAGAGCTCTAGCATCCAGCTCCCACCTTTTCCGTCGCAATAGCGAAACTCATTTCCCATCAACTTTGTCTTTGCTCATTCGCTCCACTCTTATCTCTACTTTGACTTCCCCTAAAAGGTTTCTGACAGGTTGGTTCTTTCTTCGCTCCACAGTAAATTTAGCTTTATTCCACACCTTTCCCTATCTTATGTATTTAGCTTTTCGATAGATTCATAACCAAAGAGTATTCGTCCTTAAGTAAGACTTCTCATCATGCTTTCTGTATTTAAAATATTTGCTCACATTTGACAATTTTTACTTATAATGAAATAATAATAAAAGCTATAAAAATAGAAATAGTCTTAGTCTGAAATAAAATAAATAAATAATAAATTATGTTCTCTTTCGAGTAATTTGTTTTATAATAGCCTCAAGCTAACTCCAAGCAGTTGCAAAATGCTTTTACAATCGATAGCATTAGGGGTGTTCCTTAAGTCTCAACTGTTTTTTTTTGCCTACTCTAGTCAATACGAAACTTATTCGAACTACAAATATTAACTCTTAGATTTTGTTTCTTTTCTTCCTTTAAGCTGGTCAACATTTGCTTGAGCGCACTGAGGCTAACTAAAAGGAGACATAAAGAGCGGCTCTGCGCGTGTAGTGAAGCGAGAAAGAGAACTCAATAAAAAACAAAAAGGAACAAGAGCTGAAAACTAAATTCGATAAGAAACTGTCGCAGTCGAGTGCAGCGGCAAAAATTTGCCTTCTGTGTGCCAGAAAAGTGGCCAAAGTGCCGAGTAATATGTAATGGAGCCCCCTTTCGCCAGCGACGGCAACATGATGTGAAACATGGCAATCGAATCAGCCAAAGCCATTTAGAGTCATCAATTGGCGAGGTCGCGACCGAGACTGGGGTCCAGGTCCAGGTCCAGCGGGCAGAGGGTCAGACGCAGCAACAAATACGCAGCGGGACAAATGCACAGCATGGCAGCGAAATGGAGAACCAAAAGCAGTGGCAGCAGCTGCAGAGAGAGGAGCAGAGGGAGCAGCAGCAGCAGCAGCATCCGGCTGCCAGGTAAGTGGCACATAAAACAAAAGCTTGAACCAAAGGTCGTCAATCATTGGATTTTTTGTTCAAAGTAAGAAAGAGAAAGAGAGAGAACAGGAGAGTATTATAATTTTGTCATGAACTGTGTAACCTTTAGATGTGATGTACATTTAAATCTATAGATTTATATGCCTAATTGATATTGCATTCAAAATATTTGAGACTAGGCTGTCTGCCTCTCATTCAGACTAAGCCCTCCGCTTTCACACAAGTCCGCTTTTACAAGTCTTTTCTGGTTTTTTCTTTTTAAGTTCTAATTATTCTGCGTAGTTCGAACCAACAGCCCACTAATGCAAGCAATATATTTGCCATATATATAATATATATTTTAAAATATATTTTTTTCAAAAGTTCAGTCCGCGTCTCGTCAAGCTAATTGTTTAGTTAATAAAAATTAATTTTATTTAAAAAGTAATACAAATATGAAGTTTGAGCCACAGACTCGAAACATCTAAGCAATAATTCATATTAAATCAGTATACTATATAAAACCGTATGTTGTCTAAAAGGAATATTTTATTTTCAAACTTATTAAGAACAATCTTTATGCTAATGAACTTCTTATATGAAAACCCAATTAGCTCTACACAAGATCACTTAATCAGGCTAGCCACCTGTAAGCCTTACGGCAAATATATCCACAATATAACCTTTTTGTGCAGGGTATTCCATCTTCGACTAGTCGAAGCTAACATTTTATTTCTTTAGTGTATTTATTTCGCTTTAACTTTATCTTTGCCATTTAAATTGTGCCCTCACTCAAACACTTTTTTTGCAGCCTGGCAACAGCTGCTTTGGCTCGTGTGCCTCACCAGCTTGGTTGGTTGGGTGTGGGCGGAGGACTGGTCGCTGAGCTGCGCCTCCAACTGCACCTGCAAATGGACCAATGGCAAAAAGTCAGCCATATGCAGCTCGCTTCAGCTGACGAGCATACCGAACACACTGAGCACCGAGCTGCAGGTGCTGGTGCTCAATGATAATCATATACCATATCTAAATCGGGAGGAGTTCTCTGCCTTGGGTCTGCTCAACCTACAGCGCATTTATCTGAAGAAATCCGAGGTCCAATATATACACAAGGAAAGTTTTCGCAATTTGAAAATACTCGTGGAAATCGATCTGTCGGACAACAAGCTCGAGATGCTCGACAAGGATACGTTTATGGGCAATGACAGACTACGCATACTCTACTTGAATGGAAATCCTCTCAAGCGCTTGTCCGCCTACCAGTTTCCCATATTGCCGCACTTGCGGACTCTCGACATGCACGACTGCTTGATCTCCTACATAGATCCTATGTCGCTGGCAAATCTCAATTTGCTGGAGTTTCTCAATCTGAAGAACAATCTGCTGGAGAGCCTCAGCGAATACGTGTTCCAGCACATGGGAAATTTGAAGACCCTCTCCTTGGAGGAGAACCCCTGGCAATGCAATTGCAAGCTGCGTAAATTTCGCAATTGGTACGTGGGCAGCCGGCTGAGCTCCGTCAGCCTGGTGTGCAAAGGACCGCCGGTGCAAAAGGATCGTACCTGGGACAGTGTCGATGATGAGCTGTTTGGCTGTCCGCCACGCGTGGAGATCTTCAACAATGAGGAGGCAACTAACATTGACATTGGGAGCAATACGACATTCAGCTGCCTGGTCTACGGTGATCCACTGCCTGAGGTCAGTTGGGAGTTGAATGGCAAGATTTTGGACAATGACAACGTCCTGTTCGACACGGAGAGCATCACGTCCGATAAGCTCTGGAGCAATCTGACCGTGTTCAATGTAAGCAGCCTCGATGCGGGCACCTATGCCTGCACGGGTAGCAATCTGATTGGATCGATGACCCAAAATATTAGCATCTATCTAAGCGAGATTGTGCAGCATGTGCTTGTTAAGACACCGGAGACATTCTGGTATTTTGGCCTGATCATGGGCATCTTTGGCACCGTCTTCCTGCTCATCGCCATCTCGTTTGTGGTCTGTCTGTGCAAGCGTACGACGCGTCAGCATCGACATGCCAACAAGGCGGGCGTCAAGTCGAGCGTTAGCTTCAATGATCAGGAGAAGAAGCTGCTGGACTCGAGTGTGACCACCACCACGAATGATCGCGGCGATAGCTATGGCATTGACAACAATCCCAGCTCGATCAACAAGACGGACTCCACGCTGGGCTTCAATCAGATCGAGATACACGCTGTGGAGAGTCATCGCTCGGGCTTGGCCCAACAGCAACAGCAGCAGCAGCAGCAAGTGCACGCCGCTGGCCAGGGTCAGGCTGGTCAGCATATGCGACAGCAGCTGATGACCGTCAAGGATCCCACCTGTGGACTGATCAGTGTGCCCACCTCTATGGCCAGCTATCAGCATCAGCATCAGCTGCACTCGCATTCGCATTCGCATGGCCACGGCCAGATGTCGGAGGAGTTTCCACTGAATGTGGGCGTCTTTCCACCACCGCCGGAGTTTTGCTCCAATATTGTGCCGAACCCCACATTTGGCAATATATTCATACGCGTCTCTGTCACCCAGGATATGCTCGACGGCGCCGACATCAACATGTATCCAGATCTGCTCAACATACCCAAGCGTTTGCAGGATGTCCAGTGCACGGCGGATGCCAATGCTGCGGGCAGCAGCAGCAGCACCACCAGCGATGGTCAAACTGTGGCACAATTTGCTACGCTGCCACGGCACACGACCCGCCGCGGCATACTGAAGAAGGACTCGTCGTTGCAGCCGGGGGCAGGAGCTGCAACAGCTGCCACGAATCTCTATCCCCATGACGAGATCGTTACGTACAATCTGGAGACGGGCGGCTATCATTGCGGCGGTGGGGGCAATAGTGACATGGAGCTGCCACTGCCACCGCCACCACCGCCGCCGGCTGTCACCGCCGTGGTGCAGTGCCATCATCCGACAACAGCAGCGCCAACCATGTCCGCTGCGAATTGCGCCAGCTGTATCAACAATGCGCCCACATCCGCCTGCAGCACGCCGCCAATTGTGGAGGCGACTCCGTTGCGTGACAGCTCCGCCTATCCCAAATACGATAATATGGGACGCCGCATCACTGCCAGTGGCGGCTTGGGTAACTCGACGCTGTCGCTGCCAGACGAGAACGAGACGCTGTTCAGCGAAACGACGGCCGATTCCAACATGACAGAGGCGGAGACTACGGCACAGGATCATCAGCATCAGCTGCAGCACCAGCATCAGCATCATCATCATCAGCAGATGCTGCAAACGACGGAGCCGGCGCCGGGCATGGAGAAGGGCAATGCTGGTACTGGTGCTGGTGCCGGTGCAGGCGAATTTGTTTCGCTCTAGTATTATGGCACACAGGTGTAAAGCGCGCCACCTGTCGGCCAATAGTTTCGTTGTTGCCCGCTAGCACCAGTAGCCAGCGCCATCTGTCGGTCAATAGATTGTGCTCCCAAACCCAAAACAATCAGCTCACAGCGCAAACAAAAATTCAAAAAGAAAAACTCCACTGTGGCAATCGTTTTGTTTCATATCAGCAAAATTCTTCTCAAGTAACATTTTAATATATATAAAAAATACACCAAAAAAAAAAAGAAAAAAAAACCAAACAATACAAAAATTAACAGAAAACTTAACGATCTATTGACTGTCGCAGTTGCAATTTGAAACAGAATGCGCGAATGCGAATCCAAGAGCAATTTATGTAGAATCAAAAAAGTCTTTCGAGAATATGAGAGTGTTATGTTAGCAGCGTGCAGAAATTAATAATGATTTTTAAAAACCATAAAAAGCCAAAAAATGTAGTGTAACTAGATGTAAAAACGAAATACATATAGAATCCATGGTAACCCATTCCTAAATTTTAGATGCAATCCACTGAACAGCGTTGACATTCGCCCCGCATGCCAATTACCAAATCAAAATTTGTCATTCACAGCTGATTGGCCAACGGGGCGAATGCCAAATGACGATTCGAAATGGTTCCAGTGGCAATTGCCATTAAAAGCGTAGTTTGTCTTATTTGGTAAATGTTTAACGAAAAGAAAAAATGAGAAAAAACAAAGCTAGACCAAAAACTTAGTTCCATAAGTTGTACAAAATTGGTATGTATAAAGCATATATATATATAGTTATACATGGATATAGTCAATATAAACAGTTAGAAATTTGTTTGCTCATTGTATAATCCACTATAGCCACATGAATATATATATATATATATATATATATATATATATATATATATATATATATATATATATATATATATATATATATATATATATATATATATATATATATATATATATATATATATATATATATATATATATATATATATAAATACATGTATATATATATACTAGATATATTAGATTTTAGAGTTCCCCTACCCCAAATATTATACCTGATATATATAATCAACTGTTTTCTAAATATACGTACATATACATATATAGTTTTTAGCCATGCCATAGCATACTTATAAATATATACTGTACATTTTAATTTTCATTTATTTATATTATGTACATAGTAGAAGAATTTTTAGAGATTTTTTAAAATCAAAAATATATATAAATTGATTTTAAATGCGCCCCGCTCAATAAGAACACGAAAGTTGCCAAAAAGAAAATGTTTTAAAGCTCAGTTTTAAATGTTAATGCTTTTAACAATGCATCATCAGCACATTTAGATAAAAAACATACACATACACACATACATACATTAACTTAGTTTCTAGCTCTTCCAAAAAAAAAAAAAAAAAAAACAAATAAACCAAAATTGAAAAATAAAAAAGCCAAAAACAATTGCGTACCTCTATCTAGTGGAACTTGTTAAGTTTTGTTTTTTTTTTTTTTTTCAAATAACATTTTGAAATAACATTTTATATTTTTATCACCAAACAGTTTTAAGCTGTGCGGATTACACTATGCAACAAACATTTGTTTATGCTTTCACACATTTTTTAAAAATGTATATAGTTTTCTAACATGTTTTAGAGCTGCAAAAGCTAAACGATTTTAAATTATTATTTCTCATTCATAAATATTTACTTAATTCATTATAAAATAATAAAAATTGTATTTTCATAAATATTTTCTTGAAATTGACTTCCAAATTAAGTAAAATTAGCTAAAAGGTTGCCAAACTGCTGAACTAAAACAAAGAACTATAAATGCCAATAAATCAAAGAGCTCATATATATAGCTATAAAAAAGCTAAAGGCTAATTGCTAAAGGCAAAATTAAAAGGCCAAAAATATGTATGGCAAATGTTGAGCTATAAAAAAAATGATTTCGTTATTTGCAGACTCCAAGAAGTGAGTTTTTATACAATCTGAATGCATTTTGACTGTTGCATAATAATTTCAAATTAATTTTATCTGTTTTTAAACAATATTTAAGAACATATATTGTATATAGATAAATGTATAAAATAAAAAAGCATAAAAATTGAACTCCCAAAACTAGTTGAAAACTAAAAAATTTTACTATCTCTAATGGAATATGCATGGGTGTAAATCATATTATATATGTATGTATATCCTTTATATATACGTATGTATATATATTATATCGCATATATATTCGTATAGAGTAGGAATCGAAAACGAAAGCAAAGGCAGCAGAATAATTTTTGTGTAGAATGTTTACAACTCGAGCTTGGTAATGTAAATGTAAATTATTAATTTAATAACTAAATCTAAGAGCATAGAAAAAAATTTCCAAAAAAAAAAACAAACAGCTGAATGCCAGATACACATATATAATTATATATATCTATATATGTATGTATATATATATAGCACAACTGTTGTTTAAATATGTAAAGGTAATTGTAAGGCGGATTTACTTACTGCATCAAGGCAAATACAAATAAAAACAAAATGGAACACTGCAGTCGGGCTAACCGACTACATAATACTCGTTCACGCTGAGCTAGATATGTTAGAAAATTAATGTTTTTTCGATTTTCGACTAATGAATGTCTATGTTTAGAGGCGCTCCACATTGATCTAATTGAACAGCTTCATGCTCGTAGCTCTCAAACTGTGCATGATATGGTTGATTCGTAATTTCCATTTACCCATCTATATATATAAATAGAGTGAGAACCAGAGCTCAACAGTAACTCACTTTAGCAAAGAACTATACAAGACTTACTTAGTGTTTTTTCCTGGTAAAGATATAATGAATGTAAATTTCAAATTTCAATCAGAGCGCCAGTATACCCCTTTTCGGCTTCGTAAGCGAGTATTGAAACTGAAATATAAATGATTTATTAAATAATAGAAGGCAATACACATACTATGCAAGCAAATATTTACACAGCTCCAAAAACCACACACACAACGGCGCCCCCCATTTTTTTGGTATTTTGTGGGCCAAATGCTCAAAGGGATTTTTGATTTTTGATTTCTGATGAGAAAAACAAATGATTGCACATTAAACAAAAATGAAAAATGAAAGAAAAAAAAAACATGAACATATAATAATAAGAATAATAGGAATTATATATTATATAATGAATGAGTAAAAATCAATAGCGATAAATGTCAGTAAATAGCGAATTTTTTCCCTTCAGATCTCATAGATGCTCCAAAAAGTTTTAATATATAAATGCATATATATTTATATATACATATATATATATATATATATATATATATATATATAGCTGCTGCACGTATTAATATAAGCTCTGTGTATAGTTGAGAGATTTTTGATTTTACTATATATATATATATATATATATATATATATATATATATAGTATTTTATTTTTGCTTACTATTGTTGTTGTGGCTCTATAAGACATGGAACTGATATTTAGCTTTTGGTTCACATCACACTCAAACTCATTTATTTACCATTTCTACTTGCATGACTATGTCTATATATATACAGATATATACATACATATATATATAAGCAAAGATTTGTATTGCCCCCCGTTCTTTGAAATCGTTTCAACTAATTAAAAAGTGTTGCTAACCACCAGAATGCAAACAGCACAGTCAAACACAACTAAACTCCGTAAACGTCAACATTCAAATACACACACACACACACTCACACACACCCGCAGAGAGGCATTGCGTATGCTACAAATATAGTTTTAATTACGTTCTTAGTTCGCTCAGCATACATACATATATACATATATAGCAAAATACCCTTCTATATAGTCAAATGGAATCAGCTCAACAACACAATGCGTATGCGAACACATTGAAGGCCAATGAGCTGCACACTAGAGATGAGCGCGTGTCGTGTGCACAGCTAACACGAGCACGAGAAGCAAGCTCAGAGCAGAGCAGCATAGAATACGAGCTTCAACAATATTGAGATATAGCAGTTTAAAATCATATATTATTTAAAATCATGATTATTTAAGACTTATGCTTAAATAAAGCAAATATTAAATATTTATAAATATTATAAATAATTGAATAGGAAAATGATTTTCTTAAAATCTTTTCAAATACTTTTGTATTTTCGTTTTACTTTTGTATATTTATTTATTTAATGTATAAGCTAAATTGCTTTTAGAACTGACTTTCTATGCTCTCTAGCTATATTAATATATTTTTGAGTATATATACATATATTTTAACTCTTGCATTTATGGTAATTCCACAAATTTCTATATACAAGCATTTGTTTTTATAACAGTATTTGATATATATTTTTTAATATTACATATATCACTTCATACTTTCACCTAATCTATGATTTACATTAGAAATATTCCAAACCGTATTGACCATTGAGTCGTGAGTCGTGTCACGATGCTCATCTCTAGTGTACACTCTGAACTCCCACGTTGCATGCAATTACACAAACAAAACGCAAACATGCAGCATGCAACATGCAGAATGCAACAGAAAGGAAAATGAATTACAAAAAAAAGGAAATTCAGCTTGCAGCAAATAAATAAATTCAAATGCAAAATTGTAGTACAATATTTTTACCTTTTGCCAATGTCGCTCGATATTACGTAAATGAAAGAGGGAAAAATTAAAAAAATAGTTTTGTATTTCAACTTCAAATTCTAACAAAATTACAAAATATGAATGCATTTAAACATTTGACACGACTTCAAATATTATGATCACATTTCAAAAATATGAAAAGTAAAATAAATTAAAAAAAACATGATTCACACACATAGAGAGAAGAACATGACAAAATATTGCCAAAAAAAAAAAAGAAAAAAGGAAAGAAACATATAAATAAATAAATAAATATATATAAATAAATATATGTATGTATATGTATGTATGTATAACTCACATACATGAAGATAGCATTATCCTTTGGTATAGATTGTCAAGCTTTACTACACACTATATTAACATAGATGGAATAAATATAATAATAATATAATAACAATGAACACGAACGGAAATATGAAATAAATTGAATAAAAACTAAATTACATGTGTGTTCGCTTTTATTCACATTTGATTGCCGATTGTTGCTGGCGCAGTCGGCAGTGTTCGACTGACGGACGCCCTGTAAAATAATGTAAAATAAATTATTGTATCAATTTACAATGTTTTACAATGTTTAGCTCTCTCTTAACTCTTATCCTTATCAATATCATTATCATTATCGCTTTCATTATCATTATCATTATCATTATCATTATCATTATCATTATCATTATCATTATCATTATCATTATCATTATCATTATCATTATCATTATCATTATCATCATTATCATTATCATTATCATTATCATTATCATTATCATTATCATTATCATTATCATTATCATTATCATTATCATTATCATTATCATTATCATTATCATTATCATTATCATTATCATTATCATTGTCATTGTCATTATTATTGGTATTACCTTCAGATGGATTTATGACAAAATTCATTATTCCCTTAGCTGACCCTCGTCTACAGCTCTATCATACAGCTCGATCATCAATTTTAATGAGTATATGACATACCTGAATAGCTGTAACAATTTATTGTCTCTGTGGAGTATGTTCTGGTAATGAATCTAGATAACCCGCCCCGCCGAAATTCTCGTA